ACAGGGGAAATTAGGAAAATATTTTGGATAAATGAAACAAGAACACAAAATAAAATTTATGTGATACAACAAAAACAATGCCAAGGGGGAAATTTATAGTGTAAACACTTACATTTAAAAAGAAGCTTGCCAATAAATAACCTAACTTTATGCCATAAGGAACTAGAAAAAGAACTAAACTCAAAGACAGCAGAAGGAAGGAAATAAAGATTAAAGCAGAGATAAAGATAATAGACAGAGAAAAATGAAAGCAAAAGTTGGTTCTTCAGTAAGATTAAAACTGACAAATGTTTAGATACACTAAGAAAAAAGGGATCAAATTACTAAAATCAGAAATAAGCACATGACTGTCAGTTTTACAGAAATAAAAAGGATTATGAGAGATTGTGAACTGTACACAAATTATATATCTAGATGAAATGGACAAATTCCTAGACTACATGATCCACCAAGACTGACTGACAAAGAATTTAAAAATCTGAATTGCCTTATAACTAGTAAGGAGACAGAATCAGTAATTTAAAACATCCCAACAAAGAAAAGTCCTGGGCCAGATGGCTGCACTGGTGAATTGTACCAAACATTTAATGAAGAATTAACACCTCCTCAAACTCTTCTAAAATACTGAAGCAGTGGAAACACTCCCTAACTCATTCTATGAGGCAGTGTTACCAACACCAAAACCATACAAAGACACTATAAGAAAACTACAGAGAATATCTTTTATATTGATATGAAATCCTCAGAAAATACTAGAAAACCAAATTCAGCAGCATATTAAAAGAATCATATACCATGACCAAGTAAAATTTATTCCTGGAATGCAAGGATAGTTCAACATACAAACATCAACTGATATAACACATCACATTAACAGAAAGAAGCAATAAACCCACATGGTTGTACCCACTGATACAGAAAAAGGACTTGACATAATTCAACACCCATTCATGATAAAACACTCAAAAATAACCCCTATAAATAGAAGAAAACTACCCCAACATAATAAAGGTCCTATATGAAAAACCCAGTGATATCACGCTCAATAATGAAAAGACTGAAAGATTTTCTTATAAGATTAAGAACAAGACAAGGATACCTGCTTTGTCATTTCTATGCAACACAGTATTGGAAGTTCTAGTTGGAGCAATTAGGGAAGAAAAAGAAATAAGGCATTTAAATTGGAAAGGAAGAAGTAAAATAATCTTTTTGCAGATGACATGTGCTTGTATGTAGAAAACCTGAAAGATGCCATAAAAATATTACTAGGGCTAATAAATATATTCAGAAAAGATGCGGGATACAAAATCAACACATTAAAATAAGCTGTGTTTCTAT